AATTATTCCAAGTGTGTCTGTGAGAAGAATTAGAATATCTTATATCGCATTCCCATATTATTATCGAACGCTTGAGAAATTTTGTATCCAAGCAAAATGACCCATAAAATATGTGGTTAGAGAATCAGAATTAATAGATCTGATTTACGTTGATATGGGTAAACTTGATGGAAAAGACAATAAATGGTTTATTGCTCTTTAGAGTGCTCTGATTGTCTAACTAGTTATTCGAAATAGTTTGAAATGCCTAGTTGCATTATGATTGCACTGATTATTCGATATGTGGCATGCATGTGGTAGCGCTAGAAAATCAGTGTAGCATGATAACTAGAAGAGCATATGAGTGTGTTTTATGTTGTTAACAATAAAAACACATAAGCCTATGAAACGAAATACTCATTAGTTTGTGAAAACCATTGATGTCACTAGACTCCATTTATATTAAGAAATAGTGGGGGTGATATCCTACCTACTATTAGAAATAATGGATAACTAGTGGGGGTGACGAATCTGAGTATGAACTCAGAAGAGACAAATGAACCATAAATCACGAAAGGATTTTGGTTATGAATTTGTTATTTACACCCTAAGAAAGAAAGATCCTACAAGTCTGCTAGAAGTTCGAACTTCCATAAAGATGCAGAATTGTGGGAGAATCCATTATTAACGAAATGGAATTATTGGAGTCTAATAAGACTTAAAATCTTGTAGAGTTACCTCTTGGTTGAAAAGCCTTGGGGAATATATCGATAGAATCGAACAAGATTTGGCATCTTTGAGAATTACCTCTTGGCAATGAAGTCATGGGTAATAAATGGATTCTTAAAAGAAAAGTGAACCTATCGGTTTAGTTTATGAGTATAAGGATCGCCTAATAGCTAAGGCTTTAAGCGAAAAGGAAAAATTGTAAATTTTCTTGTTATCTATTCACCATATGTAGAATAACGTCCATGTATGTTCTGATTGCTAGTGTTGTGCGTCAGATGGATTGTTAAACATGTTTCTTTGAATGGTGATTTAGATAGGAAAATCTACATGGGACAACCTATAGGGTTGTTATTCTTGAACATGCTTAGGGAGTCTATAGTTAGACAAATCATTGTAAGATTTGAAATAGACTCTAAGACGATGGCATGAATAAACTGGTTCTCTCACATGGTTTTAAAAGTGAAAGTGACAAATGCATTTAGTACAAATTTGAGAATGACACTTGCATTATGAATGACACGTCGATCTTTGGTACAAACACTCGTGATGTCAATATTGAAAAACCATGATGGTTGAGAATTTTGAATGTGAAGGATCTGAATGAAACAAATGTTATGCGTAGAGATCCTAATAACTAGGAAAATACAAGATGTACACCTGCATACATGTTTGCTGATGCTCGTATAAATTTTTTTTAAGAGCACCAAAGACGGTGTAAGAAAGTAAGAACATACTAGCATCGACAGTCTGCGAGAGGCAGCTGTTAAACAAGAGAACCGACATAGTGGGGGTACTTGGCAGGCTTACTGATTGTCCTAGTATGAAGCATTGAAATGCTATTGAAAGGGGTCATGAGACACCTTAAAAGAACAGAAAAACCTTGGCATTTGTTATCAAAGGTTTTGCTGTATTGGTAGGGTATAGTGATGCGGATTAGAATACCCTATAGAGGACTCCAAGACAACAAGAGGATGTGTTTTAAACATCGATAGAGAAGCTATGTCTTGGAAGTCAAAGAAGTAAACGATCCTGGCTCAATCAACTAAGAAATCGGAAATGATAGAACTAGCAATGGCTAGTAAAGAGGAAAGTTGATTGAGAGGATCATTACTAGAGAATCCCTCATGGGAAAGACCGATCCCTCCGGTAGTTGATTCATTGTGATAGCACCGCAGCTATTACTAAAGAAGGGAACCGGTTCTAGAACGAAAAGAGACGACAAATTCGTCGTAAGCACAGTACTGTAAGAGAACTCCTAACGATAGGAGCAATGAGGGTGGATCCTGTAAGATCCTAACAGAATCTAGCTGATCCTTTGACGAAAGGATTATCTAGAGAGAAAGTCCAAAATACCACGAAGGGTATGAGACTTATGCCTACCGAACCATGGATTACAAGTGATGGTAACCCGACCCGATAGACTGGAGATCCCAAGAAACGGGTTCAATGGGTAATAACAAGTCATGAGTAATATTGAGAAAAGTTCATGCATAGTGAAGCATGAATCCCAAAGCCTTCGAGGTTGAGTTAAAACTCTTAATGAGATCTATACTCTATGTGGAGTGAAGTACTTTACTTTGGGGGTACTTCTGATAGACTCACCTATGTGAATCTGGGAGTGGGGCCGCTCCCTATGGAACTTTGGAGGCACAAAGTTGCTAGAGCGTTCACTAAACCGGGATAACGTGCATGGCCATAAACGCACGGCCTATGAGAGAATATCACTCAATGAAAAGATCCGGTGTGCTACATTGTCTGAGATAGGGTTCAAGACTACGAGTCACCCTTATGAAATCGGAAGTGTAACCACTACGCTAAGGTTCAAATCTTCGCGATACCTTAGCTTATGCCCGATCTTATGGAACTGTTGATGCTCAGAGATAGTTTCAAACTATTCAAGTGGGGGATTGTTGGGATGCATAGCTTTGAAAAGCTATAATGAAATTCCTAATTAATTATCCAGTATTTTCCCATAATACGAAATTAAGATGGATAATTAATAAAAGGAATATTATGGAGATAATTAGGAATAATTATCTTAATAGATTATATTTTAATTATGGGAGTAATTATCTCCCTAATTAAGATGTGACTTATTCCCAAAGAAAGAGGGAATATTCTGGGTTTTCTGCTCCTATAAATAGGAGACGCCCCAGACCCTCTAAACACACCCTCAGTGAGCAGAAACACGAGAGAGAGTGAGATTCAAAGAGCTCCGGTTTTCCGCACAAAACCGCTGAGCAAAACAAAAGAGTGGCTGTTTTATCCTGGAGGCGACCGGCTGATAGTCTGCTGTGCGAATAACGAGGCAGTGCTGCGAACGTCTTAAAGAGAGCGACCTAGTCCGCGACTCAGCCAGATCGGTAACCCTAATTTTTCTGTTCGGTTTCTAACAATAACTAGGCCGGTTAGACTGGGAACAGGTTGAAGATCGGATGATGGGTGGAATTCACATGATATGCAGATAGATATAGGTTGTTTTGCAGTAGAGCACGTAGCTTGTATGTGTCTCTCTGGTCCCTGTCCCGATCGAACCCTATATAATTAAATAAATAGCAAATTTTGTCACAGATAGATCATCCGATCCATCTCAACCAAAAAGAAAGAAAGCACTAGCTCGCTCGCTAGCTAATCTCTAACTCTGACTCCCGTTATTTTGTGTCCCCAACAAATTAAACGTAAGATGTTGTCTTCATTAGCTCACCTGCTGCTCACTGTAGCCGTGGTTTTCTTCTCCTCAATGCCCACCGAAACAAACCCCGTCCCCATTGTAGCCAAACTCACCCACCGCGACGCCGTTTCGTCACCATTCTACAGAGAGTGGGAAACCGAGTCACAACGCCAAGACCGTCTGGACCGAATCTCCGCCGCACGCGTTGCTCTCTTAAGCAGCGGTGGGGAGCACTACCCATCTCACCTCCTGCTAAACGACGACGACGGCCCCGGGATTCTGTTCGTAAACTTGTCTATCGGCTCACCACCAGCACCGCTGCTCGTCTTCATGGATACCGGCAGCAGTCTTTCCTGGGTCATCTGTCAGAACAAACCCACACCCACGCCTGGTTTCTATAACCGCTTCAGGTCAGCCACATTCCAGTCCGTATCGTGTAATGATCCCATGTGCCAAGGACTTCCCAAGCGTAGTTGCTCGACTCGGACAGATTGGTGCATCTTCGATCAATCTTACCAGGAAGGTCCTCGGGTCTCGGGGTTCTTGGCCACAGAGGAGCTAGTGTTTCAGAACTCAACACTTGGGATGACTTTACCTGTGGACGGCCTAGTATTCGGATGTGCGTTCCAATTTTTGAGCAACTTTGGTCCGAGATTTGCGGGTATACTCGGGTTGGGTCCGAGGCCGGAATCCCTGGTTCGTAAGATCGGTCCGGTCTTCTCTTACTGCCTGGGTAATGTTGGAGACGAAAACTACCGACATCACCACCTCGTCCTCAACGATGAGGTGGATACCAGCCTTAGTATCACCATTAGCGAAGCTTCTCTGGATTTTGGAGCCGATAATCATTACTACATTAGGTTGACAAGTATCAGAATGCCTGGTCAAGAGGATATTATCATGACAAGCCCAACAATGCTTCTCTTAGACTCTGGCACAAACAAGAGTTTGTTTCCTGGTTTTGTCTATGAGCCTTTTGTTAATAAACTAGATGACATGGTGCGGAGCATCAACCCGGACATTCGGAGGCTTTACACAAATGTTACGAGTCTTGGTGACCTCGAGGACTTGTGCTACGAAGCGGAACTTGAACAATTCCGCTCCAATGCTTTGATGGTGACCCTTTATTTTGACGATGGGGATGGATGGTTAGAATGGGAATACGATTCCATATTCTATCAAGTCAGGGCAAGGAAGGTTTGCTCCTCAATCTCCCCATCTAGTGCTCGAGGCCGAGGAGGCCTTTTCCTGATCGGACTTTTAGGCCAACAGAACCAAAAGTTCACCTATGACCTAGATGAAATGCGTTTGTACATCGACAAAGATCCTGATTGTGCTGCCGTAGCGATGTAATAATACCACTAATGTATAAAGTTAATCTCATCTCACACAATCATAGAAATATTATTTTTATGCTTAGATTAAAATTGGGTTGGTTGGTCACTGAGATTACAAAAAACGTTCAAGTTTGGTCACTCGAAATATTTAAATCCATTGGTGGTATTTTAGTTTATTGAAACCGTTCACGTTTGGTCACTCTCCGTCAGTTTTTGCTTACGTGGCGGCCAACTCTAAAAGTTGACCGTTAAATTTGTGAAGTGGCAATTTAAAAATAATAAAATTAAAATTGATTACTGCCTTTGGGATCAATCACTGCCTTCACCTTACCACTGTCCGGACAAGGGTTGAGTTTCTTCATAACCTCTCCATTGGAAGCGACCACAAATCTGAAACCTGGAGGCGTCACTGCTCCGGTCAAAGCCACCACACTTCCCCCTTCTTTTATAGCTTTCACCGCCATCTCGCATTGCCCTGCAAAAATACCACCAGTACCCATTTCTTCAGTAACCCCAATTGATCAAATTCCCTGTGCTGGCAGTGGCTGCAACTCTTGATGCTCCAAACACTTGCTTCGCCAGCTGCAAATGTTATTACCCAATCAACAAGCCCCTCAAGACCTTTCAAACTTCAGAGAAATGCAAGTTATACAAACATTGATTATCAATAATTTCAACCTTTGAATCACAAGGCTTCCCACACCACCAGCGCCATTGAGGACCAAAATCGATTTCCCAGAAGAGAACCCAGTTCTCTCTAGACCTTCATAAGCCTTCTCGATTGCAAGAGGGAGCGCATCAGCCTGAGCGAAATCCAGACCCTTGGGCTTAAGAGCCAGCAATTTCTCTTCCACCGTCGTGCATTCCGCTGGGGAACCAATCTGTTTCGGCCCATACAAGGCCTTCTCGTGAATATCGCCGTGAACCTCATCTCCTTCTTTGAACTCCTTCACTTTGCTTCCAGCTTTCACCACCACTCCGGCAACATCATACCCTGGAACAGTCTACAAAGACGCATTTTAAATTTTCTCTCAGTAATCAAACAGGCAGTACAGCTAATTGAAAGAATTGAGGAATTAATTACTCCTACTGTTTAACCTACCGGAAGAGCAGAATCGGTGGCCTGGAACTTCCCCTGCCTCCGCTTGAAATCCACGGGGGTTGAGAGCGGCAGCGACGACCTTGACCAGAACCTGGTCCTCTTTGGTTGCAATGGAAGCGGCAGCGACGACAGGTATTGGCATTGGGATTAGAAGAAATTAGAAATTTTTATTTATTTTAAATAAAAGTGATAATGAGGTGGAAATTAGATAGCAATTTTGAAAATTTTAATTCTATTATTTTTATTATTTTTAAATTGCCACGTCACACATTTAACGGTCAACTTTTAGAGTTGACCGCCACGTAAGCAAAAGTTAACGAAGTTGAACGGAGAGTGACCAAACGTGAACGATTTCAGTAAATTTAAGTATCACCAATGGATTTAAATATTTCGAGTGACCAAACTTGAACGTTTTTTGTAATCTCAGTGACCAACCATGAAATTAACCCAATTAAAATTTTCATTAAGCATAGGCTAACAAAAGAAAGATACTTTAGACTTGGAGCCTCTCAACAATTACAGTCCTTAAAGCAGCTAAAACAATGAAAACTATCAAAAAGCTCAAAATGAACATATAAAATCTCAAAAAAAAAAACAAAGAAAGAGAGAGAAGGTAATGTTAGAGAGAGAGTCGCTATGCCCTCTCTCCTCTTTGTGGCCGTTGCAATGTCTGGCGAGATGAAGCCTCAGGCGGCGGAGGCTGACCATTGCCTTAAGCTGCTCCATAGATCGCCGGCAGGATCCCAGTTCACCCTAGTAAGAAATCGAAGGCCAGCAATTGTGAAGACTTCTCCGGTAAGGGGGAGATGGATTTCGCGATTGTTACTGCGAGAGGAACGTCCAACGATGAAGGAAGGAAAATGGATATGCAATCCGATGCAGCGGGCCAGGAGCAGACGGATTACGAAAAGTAGTGGGAGCAGGCCATGGAGATGGAACAGGGGAAGATGTCGTATAAGGATTCCTTCCGGGGTAATAAGCCAATACCGTCGTTCCCCGATGGTGAGGAGCTCATGTCCGACGAATCGAGAGGAGAAGATGAGGATGATGACCCTGATTGCCCAACAATTAGGATTAAGAAAAGTATCAATACAAGGGTACAACGTCACTGGAGCAGGGCCATCACTTTCCGCGTCCTGGGCAAAATTTTCTCATTTGCTTTCATCCAAAGGCGTGCACAGAGTACGTGGGCGAAAACCAGAGGTGTGAAGATTGGAGACATAGGCAACGGGTACTACCAGGCCATCTTTGATTCGCAGAATTATTACAGTAGAGCGCTCTATAGAGGACCTTGGACGGTGGACGATGATCACTATATTTCTGCAGAGCCTTGGCGCCTTGACTTCGATCCGGACTTCGACGATATCAACCGTGCTGCGGTATGGGTTCGTCTTCCTCGACTTCCCCCTACTTACTTTGATGAGGAAATCTTGCTTGACATTGGCAACAAGCTTGGTCGGGTAGAGAAGATGGATTACAACACCACCAACGGGTTTCAGGGTAACTATGCACGCCTATGCATTGAAATCGATTTGAGAATGAGATTGGTTTCCAAGTACCTCCTGAAGAGGAGAGTTCGTCGAGTGGAGTATGAGGGACTCCACACTTCTGGCTTCACCTGTGGGCACTATGGCCACCTGGAGTACTCTTGTCTGTGGAAAGAAAGCGATGCATCCCCAGAGGAAAGAGCTGCTGCCCCTAACAAGCCGATTGGGAATCAAGAAGTCAGCCAGAAGTGGTGGAGTACTTCGTCCCATGGATGGTGCCCACTAGACCTAAACATAGAAGGCAGCAGCAAAAATCTAGGAACAGTGGAGGTGAGACGGGAGCCAAGGTGAAAGTTGGGGACGATCGAAAATCGGGATACAGGTTCGCTACTCTGTGAGAGGAAGATGCTAATGAAACTAAGGATGGTCAAGACGGTGATGAGGAGGAGAGAATGGTTGACACTGATACTATGAGCCCAGACACTAATCAGCAACAGATTCTCAGCAAGAGTGATGTCAACACAAAGGCAACGAGCATCAATATCATTGAAGACGATTTGGAGCCTCTCCCTAAAAAAACCTAGGAAAGCCCAGGAAAGTAAAGTGAGGAAGGAGGCTAAAGGCAAGAATGTGCTTTAGTCAACTAAAAAAGGAGAACCAAAAGAGTTCCCCTGTCAACCACAACACGAAGAAGAGAGATAGTGCTTTAGTCTCTAAGACTGTTAAGGGCTCATCTCCTAAACCTTATGAGGGGAGGGATCTTATAAACAAGATTCCTAACCATTACCAGTTCCAACCCAAGTCTAAGGGACCTACCTCACCAGTGGCTATCCTCGACAGTGGTTTACAAGGGAAGTATTAGATTCAGGCCAGGGAGTAGACCTGGCAATCGGGTCGGGTTGGCTAATTTCGGATTGGGAATCTCGGGTTACGGGTCTTCACGGGTCGGGTCATGATGGGTTTGCTGATTTCGGGTCATTTCGGGTCATGAGCGTTCTCAGAAACAATATTAAACATGCTTCATAATTTTTGAAAGAACACAAATTTTTACGTATGTGCGACAATAGTTTGCCTAGCACATGTCAATTAACAAATGCTCAACTCCTTCCATGCTAATGAAAAGAAATACAAATTGCGCAAATTGTCAAAAAACAATAACGAAAGTAATACTACTACAATAAACAAATGATGTTTGATTATCTTAACACTCAAAACCTGTCTTTCAAATCCTAATAAATTTTTTTTAAACATCTCACCAAAGTATGAGTGTTTTTATCATTTTGAGAGTGACATATTCAATGAAACGGGTCTAGCGGGTCGACCCACAAACCAACCCAACCCGACCTAAAAACTACGGGTTAATCAGATTGGGGTAATTCGGGTTTCGGGTTATAAAAACCTCAACCCATTCTCTATTTTTCGGGCGGGTTCGGATCGGGTCCTCATTTGCCAGGTCTACCAGGGAGTGCGGAGCTTCTACAGGGCACCAACCAAAAATGAAGGCTGAGGGAAGCAGCAAGTTTGCCAAGGGGCCGGATAAAGCTCAAAGCCTTCCCACAGATAATGGGAAGAGTCATCAGAAGAAGAGTGGCTTCAGTCCTAAGATGGAGATGAGCCAGATCAAACCTGAATATGTGATTGCTCCTTGTGGTGTCAAAACTTGTAGTGATCTGGGTGAGAAAGCGACGGCAAAGGCCGTCAATGAGTGCTGACCACTTTCGAGGTTTGAACAGGGGAGCCTCTTTCATCATTTATCAATGATTAAAGTCCTTTCCTAAAATTTTAGGGGTGCTAGGCATCCCAAGTTTCCTTCTACCATTGAGTTTTACGAGAGCTCATATAGACCTGATGTGATTTGTATTTTGGAACCAAGGATAAGCGGGGATGATGCACTTGATGTCATCAAATCGATTTGTTTTGATTCATGGATTGTTTCCGATGCAGCGGTGTCATATGGTTCTCTGGGATAGTAACCGTATGCATCTCGAGGTCCTGGACAAAGAGAAACAGTTTGTCCATATGAAGTGGACTATAATAGGAAAGGAAGTTGGAATCCTTACGGCGATATATGCTAGTCCGAACGAATTTGAAAAGGTGGCTCTTTGGAACTTCCTCAGAAGGTCAGAGAAGAATGTTGGTGTTCCCTGGCTACTGACAGGGACTACAATTCCATCACTAGTCCGTTGGAGAAACAAAGAGGGGCACCCTTCAATTTCGCCAGATCGAGACCTTTCCCGGAGTGTACTGAGGATTGCAGACTAGTTGACCTTGGCTTCTCGGGTCCACGCTTTACCTGGTTCACCGAGTCGTCTCGGCTGAAGGAAAGACTGGATCGTAACTTGTGCAACCTGGAATGGCGGCAGCTATTCCCTTATACAACTGTCTTCCACATTCCAAATCTCAAGTTTGACCATCGCCCAATCTTGACGTGTACGTCAAGCCGCCCATCTCAACATAAACCGGTGAGACGTTTCCAGTTTCTTGCTCTGTGGCTTGCCCACGAAGATTTCTCTAGACTCCTTTCTTCCTCTTGGAACCGTGGATTTGATTTTCCTTCCTCCTTGCAGGTTCTCTCGGAAGGAAGAGACACCTTTGGCAACATTTTTCGAAGGAAGAGGCACCTTACGAACAAGCTTGAGTCTCTGGTATTCCGCAATGAGAGACTTGCCAGCCCTCATTCTCTAGAGGTGGAGAGGCAGATTCGGGAAGAGTTGAAGGACACGCTGTGGCAGGAAGAGATCCTTTGGATGCAAAAATCCAGAGTTAAGTTCTACATACATGGTGATAAGAACTCCCGCTTCTTCTATCAGAGCACGTTAAGCAGAAGAAAGAGGAACATGATCACCAGCCTGAAGTTCGTACAAATAAACCGGACCTTGTTTTCTTTTCAGAAACAAGATCGCGCCGGCGTGTCGTCTCCTGTCGTATGCGGGGTTTAGGCTTTGAAAAAATTTAGTGTTTTTTTGTTGATGTAATTGATGCATCTTGTGGACTTGTTTTAGCTTGGGCCCCCGAAGTTGATGCTTCGGTTTTTTTCCATTTGAACTTCTGCATTTGTACTCAGATTAATGAAGTGGAATTTTTTTATGTTGTGGTTTTCGTTTACATTAGTTGTGTTGATGCAATAAGAGCTACTCAATTGTCTCAATTACGGGAGATTTGTGAGGGTACCACTCTACCCTTTGTGGTAATAGGTGATTTCAATGCCACTCTTCATGCGAACGAAAAGGATGGTGGTAACCCCTGAAGCGCCACGCACGCAACCCATTTCCGCAATTTCGTCCATGATCTGGGTCTCCACGATCCTGGATATCAGGGAGACCAGTTTACATGGACAAATAAGTGCATGGGGACGGCTTGTATTCGTGAACGTCTTGATCGGGCTCTCTGCTCCCAAAATTGGATTGACACTTTTCCCGATACCCTTGTCAAACATTTCACGGATCAAGGATCTAATCATCGAGCTTTGCTTCTATCGGATAAGCCTTACATCCGTAACAGTCGGCCGCTATTTTGTTTTGATGCCCGATGGGCAGAGAATCCGGAAGTGAGGGCGATGGTCTCCTATGTTTAGCAAGAGGATATCCTGGGGAAACCTATGTATCAGCTGTGGGACAA